AAATGCACAATCAATTGACACAATATGTTCAAAGGTAATTAACTATCTTATAAATTTTACGGTTCAAATAGTACTTTTCTGTTAATAAAAAAAATTTACTTCATTTTTTATTTTTATATGTGCTTAAAATGTATTCCATTGTATACGTATTTTCATCACATCTATATTAAATATGAATATTAATAATGTAAAAAGGTTATAATGAAAACTGTATAAATAAATAAATAAATAAATAATAAAAATTCTTACAATTTTGCTATATCTTCTTGTACTTTGCTGATTGCCTTTTGTAACAAGCGGAGTATAGTAGAAAACTCGTTTGAACGTTGCCTCAGATATTTACCATGAGTAGTTAATAATTTAATAATCCATAGCAAATGAAATTCAAGATGTGGTGATTCTTCAATGTTAATGGCAATAAATTTAAAAAATTTGTCAATGTACTTTTCAGGTAAATCTTTAATAACTAATTCTATATCATCAGGCGGAATAGTTTCGTAAACTTGGCGTATTATATAACGTTCATTAAGCCTAAAAGACATGACAAGTGCCTTCAAATAATCTTTGGAGTTTAATGTTTTCAGAATTGAGCTCGGAGTAATATCCATTTCCAAATCAAAAGGATCAAAAAGTAATAATTCATCTAACGAATAAATAAGTAAACCTTCAGTTGATGCAGCAGACCAAGATCTGCCAGTTGGTGAAAATTTTACACATTTTGTACGAATTTCTGGTCGGGTCTTTCGTAGGGAAAGGTCACCTTTTTGAGTTCCAGGTAAACTAGTATCAAGCCTGTCTTCCAAATCGCTAAGATCACCAGATTGATCTATTAAATCAAGAGGCCCCGCTTCAGTCATATGCTTGCTGTTCAAAAATTCACGTATTCCATCCAATGACAAATTATGTGATATCTGATATTTTTTTATTAATAATTTCTCTTTAACATCGTAAAGACAAATGTATTTACTATTTCCACCCGAAATCACACATGACCCATCAGCCGTGTAACATATACTATTAAAAGATTTTGCAGAAGAATTAGCAGCAGTTGTTCGGTCATTAGCTTTTCTTCCACCTGATATATCTTTTCTTCCTTCTATAGAACCTATTTGATCACAATTTTCAACGTTCCAAAAGGTAATTTGACCATCCAAGGTAGATGCGGCTAATTGTTTCCCATCGGGTCGAAACGCTACAGCTAAAACATCCGAAGTATGTCGAAGTACATCGACATGTTTACTACGTTCAAATACATTCCAAATACGAACCGTAGCATCCCATGAACTTGAAGCCAACAATAAACCTGTAGGATTAAAGGCCAAACCACTTA